TTTTTTTTTTTTTTTTTTTAAACGCCCCTAGGCCATCCAAATTGGCAACTTTTTTTTGTTTTTTTTTTAAACGCCCCTAGGCCATCGAAATGGGCAAACTACATCAAACGTGTGAGGTGTTTTTGCCTGTACACCTGTGAGGGATGCACCTTGTGGGTGTCTGTGCCTAAGTAGAAATGCCAAGGCACTGTTGTTGGGTGTGCAGCATGCTCATCGGACTCTAATGCCTGACCATATGCATGCCTGAGGGTTCTAATCCGAATTGCTACTGTCTGCAGCATGCTCACCCGATTGTAATGGTTTTAGGCTCCAGAAGGCGGACCCCCGAAAAATTGTTGCAAAGAAAAGTAGTCAGGCTGTTGAAGCTTGTGGTCTCGCTCCCTGCATTCGCTGTGTTGCGAAGATGAACACACAATATGAGCATGCCACAGACAGTAGCAACATGCGTGAGCGTTAGGCTTTGCAACACAGCTAATGCATCAGGAGTTAAGAAACACGACCTCCAAGCGGCTGCCTGCTTTTCTTTGCTTCGCTTTCTCACTTGAAGATGAAAGAAATGAACCTTATCAATCAGGAAACTAAGCGTCATTTTAGCACAAGCTGTTCCATGGCTGTCTTTGGAAGCGTTTAGTCGAAGACAAGCTCGTGCTGGTGATTCTCAGGCTTACCAGACTCCAGACTTCCACAACTTAGAATTAAAAAAGTGTTAGTCCCTAGCTTTATCGAGTCGACAAGCAAACCACACTGCCTTATTGAGTCGACGGGGCTAAAAGCAAACCGCACACACCATTTTTTCTTTACTTTTTTTAAATTGTCACCGCCTTGGGAAAAAGAAAAGAAAAGAAAAAAGTGGCCGCAGGGTGGATAGAAAGGGCTCGAGGAAGGATGCACAAGTACAAGCCAGGTGGCAGAGTTGTATTTAAATGTCACTATTAGCAAACAAATCATGACATCGAATCCGGATGTAATCGCATAACTACAACAATTCTATCGTCTTCACCCGAATAGAACGCCCGGTCACTATCGCTGCATCTGGACTGAAAGTCGGGCCAAATGCAGCGATAACGACGCTCTGTTAGGGTGAAGACGGTAGGGGCTAACCCACTTTCCAAAAACATTAAACAAAGGGCTTTATGAGCTCGAAATCTTCACTACTCCCCCACATAGCTGACAACTGGCGAGCGTGGCCAATGGTTCAAACTCCATAACTGGGAAAATAAAAATCACGAGCTTGAAACCTGACTTTGAAGCCAGCTGAACACAACATTTCTAGAGGGTCACCCTTTTTTTTTTGAGAGGGTAACCCATTTTCCAAAACAATAAATGAGGCTTCCAGGAATGATGAAAGGACCTTCACATTATGGAACCCGTTTCACTACCCTGCAAATCAGGGGCAAATGTGACAATTGCCTGGTGGTCCTTCGGTTGAAACTGAAAACCCAAAAACTGAACAAATACAATTGGCAAAACCTTCAAATTTGTTGTGCGGTGGGGCAAGACCCTAGCTTATTTGTCCCAATGGTCCCAGTGCATTCATTGGTTTAACTTTTTTTGTATTATATGTGGGACATGCTGGCACCCAGTGATACCAGCTATCCACTGCGTAACCTTCGAGTGCGCACGCTGCCTAAGTTTTCATAATGTTTTTTTTTTTGTGTTTTGTTTTTGTTTCCTTCTTTCCTTCCATTATTCCTCTCAAATCCACTTTTACTATGTGGGCGTCGTTCGACACTCCTCGGGGACGCGATTCCGAGGATTCCGTCGTTGTTCCACCTGTCCTCGGAGCTGATTTTCGGAACGGAAATGTGAAAACACTGCGAGGACAAATCCTTGGGCTCCGAGGATTTCCCAGCCAAATCGTCCTCGGCTCCAAGGGACCTCCCGAGGATCCGTGTTTCACGGAGAGGAGAGGGCATGCACGTAGAGAGACGT